GTCTGGTCCAGCAGACTTGCCTGAGTGAAGTCTCCTCATTTGCATCTCAACCTGGTATTGAGTGAAGGTGATGGGTGGGGGAGGGGTGTCAGGAATCTCACAGGAGGTAACAGCGCCATGTGAAGAGAGAGGCTGATATGATAGCAAAAAGGTGCACATTCAACAGGAATCACTGCAGCTTTGGGGAGACTGTCAAGAAAAGTCAAATCAAGAACTTGAAAGAAAGCAGGCGTCAAAACATCAAGAGCCACCACACACAGACGTCTTCAGGACTGACTGGCACATAGGAGGGTAACGACAGTGGGCGGATTTGATTTGTTTGGGGTTTTTTACATTTTGCCTTTACTTATTCCAGAGACAGGTGGCCAAAGAGTGCATGGGACTACTAAAGCCATAAGACTCACTGCTCAGGGCATTCTTAATCCATGTGACAGGTCACTTGACTATCATGACCCAAAAAGTCAAGTTTTACACAGAACACGGAGCACTGTATTAACTACCATGTTATCATCACTAATGGCACCTCATGTGGATTACTCAACTATGCCGTATACCTAAAGGGAGTTTAAAGTTACTTTACGTTTATGCTCAAACTGCTGCTGCAAAATGCAACGATGCTATCAGCATTCAGACCGGACACCAGTAAGCCTTGTTCTCATGGTGCAGTTGTGATGGAAAGCAGGTTCAAAATCTCCTGGGAAAATGTAGACTGCAAAACAGGAGAAAGGCAGCGCTTTTATTTTCCCTGGCAACTGAAATAGTGGAAGAACCACACCAACCGTGGAAACTTTACCTGGCAAAAAGAAAATCCTTCTCCAATCCCCCTTCTTGGATGATGCAAAGAGGGCAAAGAAGGAGAGCGACAGAATTTGAAAGCAAAAAAAAAGAACCTTAAAAGAGCTTGAAAGAGACTTTTGGTCTGCCTCATTTCTGCAGGATCAATAAAAAAATCCCGACTTCTTAGGGCAATAAAAAGAAGTCCTGTCTTTGTTACAAAGGTGGAAGGATTGAAAATGTGAAGCTTCATGGCTAATGTGGTATTCATACCCTTAATCAAATGTTTGTTGTTTTCACCACTTATAAAGGAGTCATGTTTTTGAGAGACTGCTGTAAAAAGAGAACGTGACACATAAGAGGTTAGATTTGATTCTACAGTTGATAATGTAATAGCAAAGTAGTGATACATATGCTTATGATGGTTATATATGAAAGTTCTCAGAATATATTTGCACATACGTCTGTGCTATACCAAACGAATACAGTTAGAGTGTAAGGGGAAACAGATGCCAAATTCAAGTATGAATTTATTGACTGATTTTAGCATTTGACCCCATTATGAGCTGGCTAGGGTTATTTTAAAAGCTGAGAAGATGCACACTGTACTCACGATTATAGCTGCAAAAAAATGTCAATTAAACATAAGTACACTCTCAAATTATAGCATTTAAAGGGAAGTCGTGGTACTTTCAGATTTGAAAGCCAGAGGAGTTACACAAAACATAGCTGCCGACAATAGCTAGCTTCTACTAGCATTAAGACGTCCCTCAGGGTTTGCAGGGTTGAGTTGCAGTGTGTGTGATGTAGGCTCCAGTATATGTCACTGAACAAGAATGCAGAGGGGAAAAAAAGATCTCTGGTTACGCTGCACTGATTATGAGACCAGCACCTGCTGCTGATGCTGTGGGAGTCCTGTGCAGAATAGATAAAACAATAAAAACATTTCTTTTTTTACTTTTACTTCCTTAATTTCTTTTTTAAGCACAGGTGGTATTAAGGAAATGATCATGCTTTTATTTTTGTGGGGCAGTAAAATCAAACATTGCTAGCTGTGTTAGTGACTCCTGTGATTCTTTGGCTGTGATAGGTTCAAAATGTCTAACCCCACCCCTGACTGGCCAAATCACTGGGATTGACAGGTAAATTGACTGACTCCTCACTTGCTCCTTACCTCTGTGTTTATCAACCTTAAAACATTGTTACTTTAAAGCTATATAATAAAGCTCATATTTGCAGTTCATTTATTCATAAATTCTAGCAGGTCTTTTTTATGCTTTAGCGTGACTTTCAATGGCGCCAAATTTGTTGTCTTTTTTATGTCACAACTTCTTGTTTGTTTTTAAAAAAAACTTTAATGATCTGGAGGTCTCAATACTCACAACCATGTGCATTTCCAAACGCTTGTATGACAGAAATGGTTCAGCGGACACATTTGGGTTTGAAACACTTACTGTAGGACAGTGTTACAGTTTCCCCATCGCGGACGTCCGTGTGACCGCTAGCCAGGCAGATGGCACGCAACGATGCACCCGCTACGCATGCGTCCTTCAAGCGGACTTGGCAACAGTAAAACGTGCAGGACTACTCACCCACACAGTCTAAATGTTCGTGCCTGCGTGCGGGTATAATCCCAGCCTTAAGCAGACACAGCTACCCGGAAATTCAGCAACATTACAGCTGCAATTGATAATGCAACACTCTCTGTAACAGGCAGCGCGTGGCACAGCACACGGTCTACCATACCTGTTTATTTTTTCACATCGGCTAATTCTTTATATCGTTAGGTATCAAATTAACCCTGTTACTGAATCACCTTTATATACATGGGGCAAATGACAACTAAGGGGAAATAGTCGAGTGGACATTTAAAAAAAAAAACATAACGTTATTGTGACTAATATGTGGGCAGCTACAGGATATTCGTTCCTTATAGTCTTAAACTAAGCATATTAAATTATTATAGTGGCATAGTTATGCTGCGCTAAATGTGTAATTAAATATTTATCATGTTCTTTCAACTAAACTTTAAAAAAAAAGTCACGCTTAGCTCTTACCTCAGCTGTGAGGCTTTATGGTTGTGTACTAAACACGTCACACACGAAATAGGTTGTTTGTTCCACAAACACATGGCCATGACCACAGACACATGCTAGGTGTGTCTGCGGTCTCTGTCATTAAGCAACCTATAGCTAAACTTTTACAGAAACTTCGTTTTTGAATATGTGTATGTAACATAAACATATACCTTCACTGGCCACTTCATTAGGTACACATGTTCAACCTCTTGAGTACATGGCAGCAACATAATGCAATTAGGGATGCAGGCATGATTATGATAGCCTGCTGAAATTCAAACAGAGCTTTAGAACATGGCATAGTTGTTGGTACCAAACAGGTTGGTCCTAGTATTTTAGAAAAACTGCTGATCTGCTCCAAATCCATCTATAGTGTATAGAGTGAGCGGTAGTTCGGTTCTCTGGGTGAAAATGATTGTTGATGCCAGAGGTCAGAAAGAGAATGGGCAGACTGCATCAAGCTGACAGGGAGGCAATAGTAACTCAAATGACCACTCATTACAACCAAGTGTTCAGAAGAAGATCACACACACATCAAGCCTTGAAACTGAAGTTACAATGCAAAGAAAACTCAGGACTACAGATTGGAAAAAGTTTGCCTGCCCTAGGAGTGTTGATTTCTCCTTGAATATTTGGATGGTAGGATTAGAATTTGGCACAACCAACATTAAAGGATGGACCGATTCTCCCTTGGTGTTGCAAATATTTCATCATCATACTCTTTAGTACCAACTGAGCATGCTTTAAACACCACAGCCTACTTGAGTATTGCTAGTGACCATGTCCTTCCCTTTATGATCACACTCTGATAAAGCTTCATGTCACAAAGCTTAAATCATCTCAAAGAGGTTTCTTGAACATGACAATGAGTTTACTGTACTGAGATGTGGAATGTAGGAGATTCACGTCATGGATAAATAGCTAAAAAATCTGAAGCAACTTTATTAGGTGCCAAAATCTTTGTCTCCAGCACCTTTGTGTTTTGAAGGAAAATAAAAGGGAGGGTCGAACCTAATAAAGTGGCCAATGAGGGTTTACGATAAATGTGCTCCACAATGGGTAAATGTGCAACTTAACAACTAACAGTTTAACTGCAAGGCACTGGTCTATCTCCTGGTCACACAACACATTTTAGCAGCAACTTTCAAACAAGTGCACTGACCTGTGGAGGAAAGTGGGCGTAGTTGTAAACAGGAGACGTTTAAAAGCATTACACAGTAATAGCCATGTCTGCAGAATGTCAAAGAAATTAAAAAACACAAACACAAATTAAAAATGAAAACACAAATTAAAAAACTGGCACGGATTTTTTTTTTTTAGCTTTTCATTGTTTTAGTCTTGACAGTTTTATAAATTACAACCACAATCAATCTGTATAAAAGCTTACTTTATGAAGCACAGACTAAATATTCAGTAAATATGTCCTTTACATAGTATGAGCATCCTGTCAGAAAAGTTCAGATATACAAACAAAACAAACAAAAAGAAAAATCCAATCCTGACATCAAAGTGCCGAAGTTGTCTTTTTTTTTTTTTAACTTAAATAAAACATAACAATCAACTATTTTTTTTCCACAACCCTATATTACAGCACAGGCCTAACCTAGAACATTGGGAAACAATGGTTAGCACAACAGCCAAAGTGACTATAAGGGGAAGTCTCCGTGTAAGAAAGCAGGTATTTATCCTAACAATACAGCTTTAGAAAAAGTACTTCCTCTCTGAAAGCTCCGCTCCTGTTTCAGCGTTTTGGTCTGTACAAGAATCAGGTTCCAGGATTCCAGCTGTGATTCCAGATTTCCAGCAAAGTCCCAAAAGGATCTCAGATCCCATCAGTCACTGTTAATACAATGTACGTAGCAACAGAAGCAATGTGTCCGGAGCCAAAGATATAATTGTTCCTCCCATCAATATCCGCAACCCTGGTTATGTCTACATGCTTCTGAGTCACACTGTGTTTGTGTGAGGGGGGCGCTGAACTCACTGATCTACAGTTGTGTCATTACATAACAAATCACACAGAAAGAGAACGTGTGTATGTGTGTGTGTGTTTGGGGGATATAGGATCAATTGAGGTGCTCACAGAGAGCGATACCACCATATGTCCTTTTCCCACAACGTTACACAAGTCCTCCTTCCAGAAGAATCGGCCTCATTATGTTGTTTTCCTCAATTTGGAGTAATGTGTGCTGGATGTCCATTTTGCCTGTTCTTGGCTGGCAGAGACGGTCGTACTAAGTAAACCAAACCAGTCTCTTCTAAGAAAACAAGTCTCTCCTCCATCAGCTCCTTCTCACCCATGTGGAGGGTGTTTTGATGGCTACTTTGCTGGTGGAGTTGTTTTGCCGCCGTTCCCCTCTCCTATCCAGCATGCTGTCAGCCTACCTGACTTTAGCCCACTACGCTAGAGCAGTCCTGCTGCTATGCTCTGCTGTCAGCCAGCCTCCATCTGAAATCGGTCAGGGCCTGCTTTCCCAAAAACATCTTCATCAATAAGAAGCTTGGCAACAGAAAGTCAAATTCCCAAAATTATAACAGGGCAAACGACGCTGCGATAGGTCCATGTAGCATGTTATAAATCAGAGCAGAGATCAGTCAGACTTAAAAACACGTTTTATCACGTGGCTGACTTTGTCCTGAAGATGCTTTTGAGAGATCCAGGCCTGACTGTGCCGGCAGTGCTATTCAGCATAAGGCCGTCGGCTTGTTTTCTCTCAATGTGCTCAACAAAATCTTTATACAAATAACATGACCCTGCTATATTTACTTCTTCCTGTCGCCTACAAGTTCAAATTCTTAACTGGAGCCACTTTCAAAAGCACGCCAATGCACACGCGTACACACACATGCATGTGCACACACCAGCCCACCCACACTTTCCTGTTCAGCCCTTCAGTCTTCAGAAACCTCACGCCCAACCATATATTGTTACATATGAGTTCTGGCAGCTCAGTTTACTCAGTCATGGTACAGAAAGAGCAGTAAGTGGATAACATGGCACAGTGCTTTTGCCCTCTCCAGAAACATACAGTTAAACACAGGTTAGTATTAGAGGGGGGAAGCGGCAGCTCAAAAATCACAGGAACACATGTTTGATCTCTGACAAGTAACAGTATTCTTTAAATCCCTCAACAGCTAGTGCCGAGGTGCCCTTGAGTAAGGCACTCAACCTCCAGTTCCTCCGGTGGAGCAGCTCAGTGAACAGTTTAAACTATGGTTCCTCTTGGCAGCTCCTGCTCTCATGTGAATGTATGTAAATGTGTGAATGTTGAGAGGGGAACCCTTGCTGGGGTGAATAAAGGTTAAATAAATAAATAAATATGCTATACAGGAATCTGATCCTCCTGAGTTCTTCTCCGAGTTCCTATATCTCCGGGACAGATATGTTGCATCTTCAGACACCATTCTCCAACAATATTGTAGGTCCATAAAGCACACAGTCTTGTGAGTGGCCGAGTGTGTAAACGCGAGTTGAAGTAAAGCCAAAATGCTACAGTAGTACCATCTGTACTATGTCCATCTCAATCACTGCTTGACTCCCAAGCTGCGGAGCAAGGCAAAGGAAACCAGTCTGTGTCTGTGCAGTCTTATATCGACAGGTTATAAACTACTGCAGCTCACAACTAAAAAACACATTTCAACTAAAGACAACTCTTCACTCTGAGTTCAAAAATTAATACTGACGATGCTGCTATAAATAGTGATCACAGTTATGATCGCTGTAATGTGCAATAACAAAAGTTAAAAGAACTGAGGTTTGGCAGGGTCGCTTGTGGTGGGGTATCAAGCGCACGCTCTTCTTATCTATTGCTCATTACAGGAACTTATCATCACGGTTGATAAATTCTGGGAAGGATAGTGATGGCTTACTAAAGAATGGAGCACAATAAATAAAATGCTAACAGCAAATCCGAGAAGGACTTGTAGGATTTAACTAGTTTGGCTTGAAGAGATGCTGCTTTGAGGGCTGTGGCATTTGGTCTTCTTTCCTCAGCTCCTCTTTCCTGGGATGTCGCATCCAGTTGCCCTCCCGTTCAGGCCACCGTGCGCCTGACTGATGGACGGTGAGGACTGCGTCTTGCGGAGGTGGCACTCTCGGCCGGCCAGACCGCCCTCCATGATCAGGCCGCCCATCACGCTGGCCTCAATCTTCTCAAGGTCATCCGTCTCTGTGCGTATTTTAGCCTGCAGGAGGCTGATGTATGTCTCATACCGAGTCTTCTGCTCAGAGAGGGGCGTGGAGGGAGAGATGTGTTTTTGAAGACAAAAAGACCAAAGGACAATTAATCAAGAGTCAAACAGAAGAGACCAATAACACAATTTGCCAAAAAACAGGTTGTCTACCCCAGCTTTTAATACCAAGGGTAAATAAAGTGACCCTTGACTCTAAAAATAATACAGCAGACATGTTCCTCTGTCATAATTCGTGGTCTATTAGCTGTTTATCAGTTAAAAAAAGAAAATTAAAAGCAGAGAAATTAACAAAAAGCAACACAAAGAATTTACCTCGTATGCGAGGTAGTGCTCTTTGAGCCGGTACTCCTCCCACTCTCTGCTTTTTGGGTCAGCTGAGGGCAGATTTTTCCGGTGTTCTTCCAGCTCCAGGCTCATCTGCTTCAGCTTGTTCTCGTGACTCAGCAGCTGGTCCTCCTGCACCAATCACAGCGCAAACAGATGCCAGAGGACCCCAAAACAGCCAATCAGATGTAAGCAGATACAAATAGCATATGTAAACTGTGCATGCTGCTGAAATAGACTGTGTGGTATATGCAATTAGTACTGGATGCTGAATGCTGACATTGGTGTATAATGTTTCTTGTGGGATGCAAGAGAAGGAAGTTCGTGTTTCTAATGCGTGCCACCATCTGTGCATGTGCTTGAGTGCGGACCTGGTTCAGTCGGGTGGATGAGGACGGCAGGATGGGCCGACAGAATTTCTTCATGGAGCCGATAGCAGCAGGGAAGGCTGGGGCAGAAAACAGCGCCGCCACCAGGTTAATCCGGAAGATCCAAGACATCATCTCCTCCTCACTCCTGGAGAGAGACAGAAACAAAGACAGAGAACCAATTCATTCAAGTTTTAATGGTGGTATGTTTCATTTTAGCAGGAAAATGATGACAGCAACCGAGCAATTAAAATCATATCAAACATCCAACTAGTTATACTACACACCTACATTTTCAATTGAAAGCTTTTAAGATTTCAAATCTAAATGACAAATCCAACACAGAAACAGTTCTGAAGTCATTCGACACAATAATAGTGTAATCAGTGTTTTGAGGCATGCTGAATATCAAATGAGAAATAGTGCCTTCCATTATCGGATTATTAGTAGGTACTCCTTTTTTAGCACCTTAAACCACCACAGAAATTCTTCTTAAGAGCAGGGCTATTTACAGATTATTCATAGATCATTATGCACCACACACCCTTCTCCTCTACACCTGCGTATCCTCTTAAAACATTCATTCGCAAACCGAAGTAACATGGTTTCATCAAAAATAATGCAAAATTAAAACTTGAAAAAAAAAAGTTGTAAAATTTCGAAACCTAAAATTTTACTGTTTAAGGACAGATAACTTACGGTGCCTGCAGCAGAAAGACTCTCCAGTCTGAGGTTTTGAGCTTCAGTACGTAGGCTCTCTTGCTGTAGTCGGTGGCACGAGTAGCTAAAGCGTGGTGGATTCGCACTGCGTTCTTCAGGTCTACCTCTGAAATGTCAGTATCTGGCTTGTACTCATCCTGGGTAAGTAACAAGAATAAAAGGAAACTGTTGCACGTATCGATGGTGTCCAGATCACTACATTCAGGTTGACACCAGAGTAACATCACCTTCATACTATCACCTGAAATTAAAAATATTACCCCGATGACAAGAAATAGAAGCTAATTCATTCAACCTTACGGGCTGTTAGTAAAGTCTTCCTGCCAGCAGGGGGAGACAAACACACACTTACACAGACCAGCCTCATTTCCTCTGTAATTGCCTTTTCTATCACCCTCCCTTTCTGGCACACACACACACACACACACACACACACACACACACACACACACACACACACACACACACACACACACACAGACAGAGCACAGAAGCTCACAGCATCCACCACTGCAGTGACAGCAGTGTGTTTCTATGGTAACAGAGCAGAGGACGAGATGCGGTACCTTCTGGAGATATAAGATCATCCCTTTCAGAACTGCATAGAACTTCTTCCATCCTCGGCGACCCCTTGGAGCTAGGAGAAAAAACACAAAGAAAGCTCTTGCTTTATTACTATTTTTCTTTATCATAAAGGATTTGCTAACTTGAGTCAAAAATGTTTGTACTCACTGCGTTTGCCATCCATGTCGGCGTGGCTTTTCCGGGTCAGCACGCCATGCTTGTAGGTGACGGCATTTAGGAGAATGGGAATGGCAATGAAAGGGTTACTGCCGTCCGTTACCCTAGCAACACGTTTACTCCCGCCCTCACATTGCTCCTCCACCAGTTCTGACA